GAGGGCTACTGTGCCCTACTTCGGAAGAGCATGTACGGGACCAGGGATGCGGCGGCGAACTGGGAGCTGGGAGCTGTTCTCATCTACAGTTGCTCGGGATCACGCCGGCCTCAAGCCTGGAGCGGCGAACCCGTGCCTGTTCTGGAACGAGAAGCTTCGCGTGAGGTGCTTCAAGCACGGGGACGACTTCGCGCTGGGAGGCCAGCGCGAGTCGATCAGACAGGTCAAGGAGGAGCTAGGCAAGCATATCAAGCTCAAGGAGAAGGGCGTGCTCGGGTTGCATCCAGAGCTGGGAGACACGCAGGAGGTTCGAATCCTGAACCGGCTCGTGTCCATGAAGATGAAGGAGGGCAAGCAGGTGCTCGCCGTGGAGGCGGACCCGAGGCACGCGGCGCTGATCATCGAGGAGCTGGGGCTGAAAGGTTCCAGCAAGAGTCGGTCGACGCCAGGAGAGAAGGTGTCGGGTGTGCCAGACCTGACGCCGATCAAAGACGAGATCGAAGTGCGGAGGTTCCGATCGTTGACCATGCGGGCCCACTACTTGGCGGAGGACAGGTACGACCTGAAGTTTGCGAGCAAGGAGTTGGCGCGCGAGATGAAGTGCCCCACGGTGTCGGGCATGGCCAAGCTCAAGCACCTTGGCCGGTTCCTGCTCAAGAAGCCCAGGTGTGTGCAGGAGTTCGCATGGCAGGATCGACAGCACAAACTGGTGACATACTGCGATTCCGACTGGGGCGGATGCGTGGTCACCAGGAAGAGTACTACGAGTGGATGTGTGCAGCACGGCAGCCACAGTATCAAGCAGTATAGTTCTACGCAGCAGACCCCATCATTGAGTAGCGGTGAGGCAGAGTTCAATGCGTGTGTGAAGGCGGCTGCGGTGTGTCTTGGAGCTCAGGCCTATGCCGCAGATCTGGGTGCTACGCTGGTGGCCGCTATCGGCACAGACTCCAGCGCGGCGCTGGGCATGATGAAGAGGTCAGGGCTAGGTCGAGTCAGACATATCGCGGTGCCACTACTGTGGATCCAAGATGCCGTCCGTGAGTCTCGCATCAGAGTCTTCAAGGAGAAGGGCCTGGAGAACGTCGCGGACGCCGGCACGAAGTACCTGAGCGGGCCGAAGCTGGAGGCGATCATGGAGCGCCTCGGCTACGTGTACCAGGCCGGAGAGAGTGCTCTGGGTCTCCGCGTGCAGCGGGGAGTAGGGGTTTGAGCAGGCTGCGGCGTACAGTGCGCGGGTGCGGGCACGGTGAATGACCGACGCCCTACCCGCGAGGAGGAGTGTGAAGAGTAGTATGCCTCCGAGCGGAGGCGTGGCCAAAATATCCCGCCAGGCGCTCCCGAGCGGAGGCGTGGCCAAAATATCCCGCCAGGCGCTCGCATGCAGTCAGCGTATATCTGAAGCCCCTTTTGGCCCAGGGAGAGACAAAACATTTAGAGGAGGAGGAGGAGGAGGCGGAGGAGGAGGAGGAGGAGGAGGAGGAGGAGGAGGAGTAGGAGGAGGAGGGGAGGAGGAGGAGGGGAGGAGGAGGAGGAGGAGGAGGAGAGGAGGAGGAGGAGGAGGAGGAGGAGGAGGAGGAGGGAGGAGGAGGAGAGGAGGAGGTAGGGCAGAGGAGGAGGAGTAGGCGGGAGCGGGGAGGAGGCGGAGGAGAAGAGGAGGAGAAGAGGAGGAGAGGAGGAGGAGGAGGAGGAGGGAAACAAAAACCCGAGGGAGGAGGATGAGGGAGGTGGAGGAGGAAGAGGAGGAGAGAAGGAGGAGGAGGAGGATGAGGAGGAAGGAGGGAGATGAGGGAGGAGGGGGAGGAGGAGGTATAGGAAGGGGAGGAGGGAGGAGGGGAGGAGGGAGGAGGGAGGAGGGGGAGGGAGGAGGAAGGACGGGAGGCGGGAGAGGGCGGAGGGAGGGAGGGCGGAGGGGGGAGGGAGGAGGGAAGGAGGAGCAGGAGGAGGAGCAGGAGGAGGAGCAGGAGGAGGAGCAGGAGGAGGACGAGGAGGGCGGAGGGACGAAACGAGGAGGGAGAGGAAGAGGAGCGGAGGGGGGAGAAGGAGGGAGGATGATAAGGAGGAGGAGGAGGAGGAGGAGGGAGGAGGAGGAGAGGAGGAGGAGGGGAAGGAGGAGGAGGAGGGAGGAGTGAAGGAGGAGGAATGAGGAGAGAGGAGGAGGGAGGAGGAGCAGGAGGAGGGAGAGGGGGAGGCGAAGGGAGGGGGAGGAGAGGAGGAGGAGGAGGAGGAGGAGGAGGAGGAGGATGATGATGAGGCGATGATGATGATGATGATGATGATGATGATGATGATGATGATGATGATGATGATGATGATGATGATGATGATGATGATGATGATGATGCTGATGCTGATGCTGATGATGATGATGCTGCTGATGATGATGCTGATGCTGATGCTGATGGTGATGATGATGATGATGATGATGGTGATATTGATATTGATATTGATATTGATATTGATGATGATGCAGAGGAGGAGGAGGAGCAGGAGGAGGAGGATGATGATGACGATGCCGATGACGATGCAGATGAGGATGAGACGATGACGAGGACACACGGATGATGTTGATGATGCTGTTGATGGTGATGTTGATGATGACGATGACGATGACGATGACGATGATGATGATGATGATGATGATGATGTTGTTGTTGTTGATGATGATGAGGGGCGGGCACATGGGAAGGTACGCCGAGGCGGGACGACAGCGAGGGGCGAGCAGCTGGGGAAGCATAGAAGCACAATCAGTCATAGGGTGGAACTGGAGGAGGCAGAATAATATATGGAGCTTGCCGTAGACGTCGTACCTTGGCGGTCACATGTTGCACGGAATAGTTTGTCCGTAGCGCTGTAGACGTGGCCTGTGCGCACACGCAAAACATATGTCCGTAGCGCTGTAGAGCCAGTATAGTGTGCATGAGCGGGGTTTGTCCTCCGCAGATGCGAAGTCGCACAACCGCCTGAACACGTATTTAGTCATTTTTCATCGGATCGTGATTTTGGTAGGTTCGAGTCTTGTCTTGGTACATGACGGCGAGCCGCTTCTTGGAATATTTGTTCACGGGCTCCACGTCAGTATTCTTGACGCTAGTGGCTGTCGGTCCCGATCTGAATGCCCGCTCCGTGGCGGCATCACACGCGCCCAGAGTACCTTCGAGGCCACTGGCGCCTCTGGCCTACAAGCCCGATTACTCGGGCTGGTACCCCATGTCGCAGTCCTGCATGTTCAGGTGCTTCGGCTTGTTCTTGTAGTGCGGCTAGTTCTGCTGGTGGTTCTTGTAGCTCAGGTGGTTGCCCTCGTCGCCCTTCAATTTCAGCTCGTCGCCCTGGAAGCGTTCCCTGAGGTTTTCTTAGTTTTCTCGTGGCCCGCGTAGCTCAAGTCGCGGCACGCATGGCCGGGGCCATGACATCTACTAGATTTCAGGCCCCCTTGTTCTCCTCATTCTGCTTCCATTTTTGTTCGTGGTCTTCTTATTCTTCTTATTCTTATTCTTCTTCTTCGTTCAATACGTCCCCTGGCCCCCTCTCGCCCGCGCGCACGACGACTTGAGCCATAATGAGCTAACCTCCTCTTTCTGGCCCCCATCGGCGCACCAGAGTCAACTGACTACCACACCGATCCTACCCAGAAGATCCAACACCTCAATTCTGGATGTCGTGCTTCCGTGCTGGAGGAAAGAAACCGCAGAATGGGAGAATTAATGATCCAGAATAAAGGTCGTACCTACATTCTGGGGGTTTTCGAACCTCTGGGTGTCTGGGCCCAGGCTGGGACCGGCCGGGATCGGTGAGGCGGTCGGTTGATGCCCCCCCGAGACGTTCGGGAGAAGAGCGTGCGTGTTTCAGTCTGCAGCTTCAAGGGGTCAGTGAGCGGGGCAAATTGCTCTTCTTCCTCATCCTCCTCATCCTGCGCCTCCTCCTTCTCCTTATCCTCCTTCCCCTCCGCTCCATTCCTCCCTTCTCACCAGAGTTTCTGGAGCCCCGCTCGCAGAATTTGACGTGTGCTCCTTTATTCCATATTCGAGCCGCGTCGACGCGACGGCGAGGCTGTCGCGGGTGTTCAAGGTTGAACGCTGCCTGTGGCCCAGAATCGGCCGATGCCGACAGATCAGCGCTGTCGGAAAGCCGCGGTCGTTCAAGTTCAAACAATCCATTCGATGTCAGAAAGCAGCACCGACGTCATCGCGATGTCAACCTGCCAGATGCAGTTTCAGTGGTTCAATGAGCGTAGTAATTTACGTTGTCATTCCTTATCCTGCTCCTCCTCCCCCTCCTCATTATCTCCCCCCCTCCGCTCCCTCCTCCCCACCTCCTAAAGTGTGCGAGAGAGATGGGCAGAGAAGCAGGAGCAGGAGGCGCAGGAGGAGGAGGAGGACGAGGACGAGGAGCAGGCGGAGGAGGAGGAGGTCGCCGATTTGTCCAGGTCCGATGTTCTGGCTTCGTCGTGCAGTTGGGACAACGGCGGTGAGACAACGGCGGCTCAAATCCGCTCAGAATCATTCCCTCGACCCCTCCCGGGGTCCAAACGCACCAGTTTTCCGAGCTGCGTCCAGCCGCGGCGGCGAGGGGTCCCTCCGAAGGCCGAGAAGGCGACCCTTGTCTCAGCTGGCCCCCCTCGTCGAAAGCTTCGGAAGCTCCGGATCTTCGGGCCATAGTTCGGGCCTCCAGAGTTTAGCCTTCGCCCGTGGTATGGCCGTCGGCCTTGGCGGACCGACTGAACAGGATGGAGGAGAGCGTGTTCATCGTCGTCTAGGTCGTCGGCCGAAAACTAACGGCAAGTATAATTTTAGTCGTGTGAATGCGCCCCTTCTTTGGCGCTGCGGGCGATCATGCTCGCCTTCTCCAGCGTCTTGCTGTAGCGCCTTGCGGTCAACAAATGTGTTTTGACCAGGACTGCGACGGGAATCCAACGGTGGCGATTGGAAACCTTGTGGAGGCCGAAAGAAAGCGACCACAAACCTCAAGAGTTGATCCACGTGTTCGAGGTGCTCCTGGACATGGTGGTCTCCAGAGGCGAGGGCGGCAAGACGCTCACCCTGACGACGACCACGGCCCTGGACCACGCGATCGGCAACCGCATCCGCGCGCGCGGCGTGAGGATGGCTAAACAGAAAAAACACCTCTGCGTGACCACGGTCGCGGGCCGCTACAGGCGCGTCGGGGCCATCAGCAAGCGGGCCGTCCAGTTCGCAACCCGTCGAAATCGAATCGCGCGGGTACGCCAAGCAGGTGGACCAGCGCACAAGGTGTTCAGGCATGCCAGGGTGCCCTCGCTGCTCTACGGCGTCAAGGTCATGGGCATGGCGGACGCCAACCTGGGGCAGCTGCGGCAGAGCGTATCGACGGCGATGCGCGGCAACGCCAAGGGTAGGTCCACGTTCTCAACGCTGCTGGCGAACGACAAGGACCAAGGCACGTTGGCCAACTCGTCCCCAATACTGGCGTGGGCGCAGACCCGGCAAGAAGCCGAGGAGGACCAGAGCCTGGTGACGAGGCTACGGACCGCATGGAAGCGGTGGGTCCTCCAGGTGGGCTTCGCGAAGGTCCCCTGGCAGCATGTGCGCGGCCCCGCAGGGGCCTTCGTGGCGACGGTGCAGAGGCTGGGCTGGATGACCCAGGCGGTGCGCACCATCACCATCGGCACGAACATAATCGACCTGAGGACCTCCACGAGCTGCACCATTACGTCCGCAACGCCACGGAGCAGGGCCTGCAGGACGCGTGGCTGGCAAAGTGGGGTGCGGAGTTCAACCTGCAGTCGATCTTCGCGGAGCCTGCCTGTGCGAGCGCTACTACGGCGGCCCGGACGCAGGCGCACCAGACACGGGTGAGGACGCTATGGTGTGGAGGTACATGGCCTCAGGCGAGGCTGTTTGCCAAAGGAGTGGTTCCCGACGCTATCTGCAAGGCGCGCAACATGGGCGAGGGCACGGACAGGCACCGACCTTTGTTTGGCGCGGCAGGATAAGAGGCGACAAGTGGGAGGCGAACACATAGTGCACAGATGGGCTAACCCGTGGCCAGGGTTCGGGCAGCTCTGGGGGCGCGGCTTGGCCAACGGCCCAACGGTCGAGCTAGGCCTGTGGCCCCCCCCCAGCAACGAGATCCTCATCGAGGGAGCTTCGTGGAGTTCGCCACGGGCTTCGTGGAAGCAGACGGCAGCCTGCTCTACGGCAAGTACGTTGCCCTGCGACGGGGCGGTCGTCTCTTGTGCAGCTGAACGAGGGCATGACTCTCCTGTAACGCTTGCTATGGGCCCTTGCCAGGAGTTCAATGGCAGCAATCGGTTTCCTTGAGCGAGCTGACGGCCGTGCTCAGAGTGCTGGCGGTCGCCTGCCCGCCCATCATCGTCCTTTCCGACTGCCAGTCGGTCATCGACGGCTTCCTGAGAGGGCCTTTGTGGGCGACGCGCCCCACCACACCGCACAGAGACGCGTGGGCGCGCTGCTGGGCTTTGATCGCTCAAAATGGTAGACTAGGGCCGCGATGGGGTAAGTTTCGGGAAGGTCAAAGACCACGCTACGAGAGCTCGGCAAACGAAATGTCGTTGACACCTCCGGCGGCTCGAGCCCACCCGATCGGGATTCGAACCCACCAAACTTCCCCGACCCCCAGCCTGGTGGGGGTGACGAGGGGGTCGCAGAGCCTCCCCACCCTTCGCCTCCTGGCGCCCCGCCCCGGGGGTTGATTTGCTGGGGGATTGAGGTAGGATCGAACGAACCCGCGCCATGGGACATCAAATAATATGCCTCCCTACAGCAGTCCTCTGTCGTCGATGTGTTAGGTACGCTCAGGACAGATCGGTTGGTTCGCAGTTGGGCTGTCTCGCGGGAATCCCCCGAGTAATGGCTGGACGTTTGCGGCGCCTGACGGAAGGACGTCACCCGACAACAGGGAGGCCTTTTTGAACGCTAAACCGTATCGCCCAGGGACATCAGCCCCGCGACTCATGCCTGAGCCCCCAATCCTGGCTGGATTTCTTTTCTTCTTTCTGCGAGGGATCAACCTTCGCGGCGACCCGTTACACCCGGGCCGGGACCCCTGGCGGCGCATGGATTTCTTTTCTTTTTCCGCGCGCGAGTTGCCACTGGAATCCCTGAACCCCTTTCGACTACCGTACAACTATTACTTGAGTACGACTGGCACTATCATATACTAGCGCGCGTTTGCTCCTAGAGAGCACATTGTCCTGCCGTGCAGGTGGGACAAGTAGTACAACTCCCCGGGACAAGTGGTACTCGTACAACTCCCTAGTACAACCCCCTAATATCAGTACAACTCCGTAGTGCATCTCCCTAGTACAACTCCCCAGTGCAATGCCCTAGTGCAATTCCACTAGTGCAACTCCCTAGTGTGAGTCCAACTCCCTAGTACAACTCCCAGTAGGAGTCCCTGGTACAACTCCTTATTACTAGCACAACTCCCTAGTAGAGCGCTGCTGCATTGCACTTACAATCTGGGCTCTCACGCTTTTCCTCCTCTGGTTGCGCTGGGGTGGGTGGGACCCCTCGCGCGGGCACCCCCGCGGCTGAGAATTCATTCTTCTTCCGGAGTTTGAGGCGGGGGCACCCCCCGTGTTCGAACCCCTCGCCAGGGATTTGTTTCGTTCCCCCGCGGAAGCCGGACACCCTGGGGTCCTCGGCGCGCCCCAGAAGTTCTGTACTTCCGGATGGGCCCCCATGGGTCCTTCGTTGGAGTCGCGGGGTTGATCCAGGGACTGCCTGGGGTAGGAACAGCTTCGCTCGCCGCCGACAGTTGTGAGTCAACTTTCAGGGGGTCTGAACAGCTGAATCCAGCAGAATCCTCCTCCTCCTCTTCCATCCTCCTCCCCCCCCTTCATCCTGCTCTTCCTTCTCCATCTTGGGTGTTGACTGAGAGATTCCTTGCCGGCCCATCCATACGCGATTGCAGCGTGGATTCGCTGCATTATTCCGCAATTGAGATATGTTTGGTTTGTTCCGGGCCAGTCCACCGATTAGAGTCGGGGCGCGCCTCGTTGCCCAAGCCCAGACCACATCTCCTCTTATTTTTCTCTTTTTTCGTCCTCCTCCCCTCCTGCGTCCTCTGAGCTCGCTCATCCCTCCTTCCCTCCCTTACCCCTCTCCCTCGTCCCTTATCCTCTTCCTTCCTCCTCTTCCCTCCTCCCCCCTTTCTCCTCTCTCTTCGCCCTCCTCCCTCCATCCTCGCCAAAGCGCCCGCACGCCTTCCTCCCCCTCCTCCTCCTCCTCCTCCTCCTCCTCCTCCTCCTCCTGCTCCTGCTCCTGCTCCTGCTGCTCCTCCTCCTCCTGTTCCCCCCTTTGTGCTTCACATCGGCTTGTTTGCTTGCGCCGTCGATAGTTTTGTAGCCCTCCTCCTCCTCCTCCTCCTCCTCCTCCTCCTCCTCCTCCTCCTCCTCCTCCTCCTCCTCCTCCTCCAGCTGGATCCGCAACCCCGGCATGTGTCCCACTTCGGGACGCATGGCCACCGGGGCTAGGCGTGTCGGCCGAGAGTCCGCCACATGACTGCAGGGGCCGCTGCCGCAGACGCCTCCCCCACGGGGGGGGCGCAAACCCGTGGGAAAGCAAGGGACCGCCCCCAGGCGCCGCCGGCGACGGCGACGGCGACGGCGGCGACGACGACGGCGGCGGCAGGGCGACGAGGCGACCGCGACGACGACGCCGAGGACGCCGACCGCGGGGACCGCCGCAGCGGCGACGAGGCGGAACGACGACGGCGACGACGACGACAGCGACGGGGGACGGGGAGGGGGGAGAGAGAGGGGGGCGAGGGCAGGAGGAGAGGAAAGGAGGGACACAGAGAAGGGAGGGGGAGGGGAGAGGGGAAAGGGGCAGTTCCCTACCACCCCAGGGCGTGCGCCCCCCAGGGGGAGGGAAGCCGTGCGCGGGCAGCTCAGCCCGACCCCCTGTCTTGGGGTTCCTGCTGGTGCTGGGGCCCCGCGGGAGGTGGGCCAGGGTGGCGCGTCGGCCTGCGCCTGGTCGGCCCGCTGCCGGGGCGCGCCGTGCTGGCCAGTGCTGGCCGCTATGATCATGGCGCCCGTGTGGCTTTGCACATGGACGCTCAATGCGCAGAGCAAGCTCTGGAAGAGCTCCGGCTTGTCCCGGTACGCCCGGCGCAACCATGCCATGCCGCTCACGTTGATTCGCCCGTAGCTCTCAATCACGAGGGGCACGACGTTGGCACTGGGGTACTTCGTCCGCTTCTCGTCCTCCATGCGGCATGCAGCGGCGCCGTCTCGAGACGCACGCTGCCGTTCCAGTGCCGAGTCCGTGCTCAACACGTCGACGATGGCGACGTCGAGGAAGAACGTGGTGCCCTCCAGCTCGACAACGATGTCTAAGCGTGCCTCCGACATCGTGCCATCCGGCTTGAGCTTGTCAAGGTGGTGACACCGCTGCTCTGTGCGAACTGGGGCGTGCAAATCAGCGACAAGCCGGGCGGCAACGAGGTCACGGCTGCCATCGTGCCGGCGCACGAGCGCACCACCGATCTCACAGATGCTGGCGTGGTGGCCCTCGTCGTCCAACTCCACGCCGCACTTAGTCCCATCCGGCCACCGGTTCTAGCAGCGGGCAGCGTCGCGTGGTCCACGCGGCACGGGTCGCAGGCCCAGGCGGCGGCGGGCAGCTGCCTGAAAGGTCGCGTCCGTCATCTTGTCGGAGGCGGCCCCCGGCGGGTCCAAGAAGCGGCTGGCCTCCGGAGTGGAGGCGGATCTGATAGCCGCTGCATGGCGCTGCGTGGCCGACCCCAGGAGCTGATCGTGCAGGTTGCGCTGGACTGCTCGAGTCCAGACTCGCTGCATACCCTTGACGGGTTGGGGCTGGTCGCTCTGCCACAGGCGTGTCTGCTCCCGCGCCCCCTTCTGATCCAGGCTGGTCACCGCGCTGTTCATGCCCTCCACGTGCTGCGGGAGTACGTGCCGGAGCTCCGCGACGGTGTTGACACCAACCGTGCTCATCAACTCGCCCAAGGCCCCGAGAGTGCCGACAAGGAAGGCAGCATCGGCACGCACCTCCACCCCGCCGACGCTGAGGCCGCCGTGACGCAATGGCAGGTGTAGCTGCACCCTGCGGTGGGCGTCGAAACTGCCGGTTTCGCCGAGCAGTCGAGCCCAGAAGTGTTCGACCACGGCGTCGCAGGCTCTGGCTTGCTCGGCAGAGATGGCGGCGCCGCGCAGGACGTGCTGTGGCTTTGACTGCGCGGCCAATCGCGCCCGTGCCTGCGTTACCTGCTTGGGGAGCCCGCCTTCCGCGTGCAATGTCCACAGCCTGTCGAGGTTAGCTCTGAGGGCGGCCGTGACCGAAGCGAAGGACCCGCCAGAGTCCCCAAGCCACAACGTGTGCATCTGCCCGCTGGATCGCTCGACAGCGTGCCCCAAGACCTGGAGCGTCTCCCCGTGGTACTGCTGGAGGTCCATCGGCAGAATGTTGCGCTCGACGCCCCACAGCTTCAGCTTGGACTCGCTGAGCGTCATGCCGGACTCGTCCAAGGCTTGGCGAAAGGCTGCGAGGACCGCGGGGAGGCGCGAAGCGGCGCATGTGACATATATGTCGTCGACGTAAGCCCGGAAGCGGACACCACCGTCGAGGCCAGCGTCACGTAGGAGGGCGCGTGCTCGGTCGAGGACCCGCTTGAGGCCGACCACGAAAGCGAGCAGCGAGAAAGGGCACCCCTGGTCCATGCCGGTCTGCTCGGTGATGGTCTGAACCTCCCCGTCGCCGCCCTCCCACATCAAGGGCGTGTCCGTGCAGTACAAGGCGGACACGAGGTTCGCCAGCTCTGGGAACGCAGTGACGACATCGTCGGCCATGACACCGCGGCTCATGGAGCCGAAAGCATTGTTGATGTCAAGGGAAGCTGCAACTCGTTCGCTGTCCTGGAGCACGTCTGCTTGGATGCCGTGGGTGATCGACTCGACGGGGCCCGACCTGCCAATGGCGTATTGCTCCTCACCCACATGCGCTGTGGCACGGGGGTTCAACACCTTGGTCACCGCCCGGAGTGCAATGCGCCGGAGCGCGGCGGTGATGACCAAGGGGCGGATGCCGCCGTCGCTCTTGCGGAGGATGAGCAAGCGCCCAGCTCGTGCGCATTGGTACACAAAATCCGGCGCCTGGCCGCTGGCGAACTGGACGGCCGCGATGGCGAGGTGCTTCGCGTAGTCGGAGTCCGCCGAAGAGGATGCCCAATGCTCGAAGCGGCTGCCGTCAAGGGAAGGACCTGCCTTGCGGGGCAACCGTTTGCAGTCCCGTTGCACCTGCCGGCCAACCGCCTCCCAGAAGTCCTTGTGCTCATCGACGTTTCCGACTTTGGGCTCGGGCCGGCGCACCTGCTCGGGAGGGAACTTCCCCTTCACGTTGTCCGGCTCGTTCGGGTCTGTGACGAGGAGGGCGGAGCCAACGGCAGCCTTGTGCGCCTTGCTCCACTCGTTGGCCGCGCCGAGTGCCTCGATGCGGGCGACCAGGCGCTTCAAGTCGTCGTCCTCGGAGGGCTCATCGCTGAAGTTCGCCCTGCAGGTGATGTGCACCTCATCCCATAGAGCCTTCCAGTCGCCCCGCCAGAAGAGCCGTAAACGGTCCACGACTACTCGTTTGCGCCACTGCGTCGCGGTGACATCTTGGGGTCGCAATTTGGCCGGCATGCGGGCGTACAGGAGGCGGTCGAAGAGCATCAGAAGGCGCCAGCCCCGCTCTCGGTCCGGCCCAGCTTCAGCGGCACATTTGAGGACAGCACCCTTGGCCTCCTCCAGTGAATGGTCGAGGGAAGGATGGGCGCCCTCCCAAGTCCGCACTGTGCACAGCAAGGCCTGCTCGACATCCACAAGGTCCCACCAATCTAAGTTGCGCAGGATGTTCTCTTCGAAGGGCCCACGGTCTAACAGTTCGGGGGGATCGGTCTGCGGGGCGGCCGCCTGCACTTCGGCGTCGAGGGAAACGGTGGCGCCACGGCTGACGACGTCCTGGAGCTGCGCTTCCGTGACACCGTCGGCGTACTCCTCTTTATCCTCCTCTTTATCCTCCTCCTCCTCCTCCTCCTCCTCCTCCTCCTCTCTTCACTCCTCCTCCTCCTCCTCCTCCTCCTCCTCCTCCTCCGCCTCCTCCTCTTCACTCCTCCTCCTCCTCCTCCTCCTCCTCCTCCTCCTCCTCCTCCTCCTTCACTCCTCCTCCTCCTCCTCCTCCTCCTCCTCCTCCTCCTCCTCCTCCTCCTCCTCCTCCCTCCTCCTCCTCCTCCTCCTCCTCCTCCTCCTCCCCTCCTCCTCCTCCTCCTCCTCCTCCTCCTCCGCCTCCTCCTCTCTCCTCCTCCTCCTCCTCCTCCTCCTCCTCCTCCTCCTCCTCCTCCTCCTCCTCACTCCTCCTCCTCACTCCTCCTCGCAACTCGCCCTCCTCCAGCGCCCGCGCGCCTTCCTCTTCGGAGGCGCGCCCCCTCCCTCCCCACTGCGCCGCTGGCGCGCCGCCCGCCGCAAAAAGGCCTGCCGGCGGTGCTGTTCGGCAGCTGCGCGGCGCTCATCGGCTTCGTGCTCTTCTCGGCCGGCGCGCTGCCAGCGATGGTCTACGAGGACCGTCGTCGCTGTTGTCGTTGTTCAGTACGGCCGAGATGGGTACTGAACGAACGGGCACGAAGGCTGGTTGCAGTTCCTGTTCATATTGAGCCAGACTCGTTGTCGGTGTCCCCGCCGATGTTGCCCAGTTGAAGTTGACGGCCAGATGCTGTCGATTTTGGACAACATCTGCTGTTATTGGGCATCATACCAATTCGCGCGTCCAAATTCGTTCAGAAGAAAGATCGGTGGCGCGCACAGGGGGGAAGGCAGAGAGGGCGAGCCTTCTCAGAATGCTCAGAGGGCCTCCAGCCTCCTGCCTTCTGAGAAGTTTGTTCTACAAGGTCGGACCGAGGCATAAGATCGAGGTCGATTCGGGGAGGGTACCCGAATGTTTTTCGTGTTTGTTGGATGTTCTTGTGCATGCTGAGGGAGGGCACCCTCGAATGTTCTTCAGTTCGGCTGGCGGATGGGTCTACTATTCTTGAGTGATGTTTTTCCGTCCTAGGCCTGGCCGCACAGTCTCCGATGACAAAGACGGCTTCTCAGAAGGCGCAAAGGCGTTTGAGAAGCCCCCCCGCCTTCGGGAGCAGGAGGAGGAGGAGGAGGAGGATTGGGAGGAGGAGGATTGGGAGGAGGAGGAGGAGGAGGAGGAGGAGGAGGAGCGGATGAGGAGGAGGAGGAGGAGGAGGAGGAGGAGGAGGAGGAGGTCGAGGAGGAGGAGGAGGAGGAGGAGAGGATGAGGAGGAGGAGGAGGAGGAGGAGGAGAGGAGGAGAGGGAGGAGGAGGAGGAGGAGGAGGAAGGAGGAGGAGTGAGGAGGAGAGAGAGGAGGAGGAGGAGATGGGAGGAGGAGGAGGAGAAGGAGGAGGAGAGGAGGAGGAGGAGGAGTAGGAGGAGGAGGAGGAGGAGGAGGAGGAGGCGCCTCTCCGCCTTCTGACAAGGCCTGCCCCCCATCACTTCCCCCTTCGGCGCTGCCGGAGGGCACGTTGCTCGGAGGAGAGCCCGTGGAGGCAACGGAGGCCCTCCCTGTCGTCTGTTCGGGCTTCGCTGGGCCTCCCATGGGCACTGTCGTCGCCACGGCGGGCGGATCCGCCTCGTAAAACAAGTCAAGATGCAGTCGGGCCGAGGTATGAGATCGAGGTCGGTTCGGGGAGGGTCCCCTAGTGTTTTTCGTGCTCGTTGGATGCTCTGATGCACCCTGGGGAGGGTACCCCTGGGTGTTCTGTGTGTGAGTGAGTGAGTGAGTGAGTGAGTGAGTGTGTGTGTGTGTGTTTTGGCCGACGGAGCGTCTCATGTTCTTGAGGGAGATGTTCTTCTGGCCTGGGTCCATCTGCACAGTCCACCCGCACATGAAAAATGAGCAACTTTCCAAGGGTGCCCTTGCATCCTTCCCTTTGGCCCATCCTTGGCCGCTTTAGGCTGGCCGCGCCCCGCTCGCAGAGTGTCGGCATGGCCGTCCAAGGCGCTCTGCATCCTTCTAGTGCGTCCTTCGTATACAGGTTGACTGCAGGCCCTGTGAGGTGTATGATTTCGTGTGGGCCCATCTGGGTGGTCGGTTCTTGGTCGTTTGCGCGATGTTGGTCCAGATCCGACGGTTAGGGGCGAAACAAACAAAAGCGAGCAACAACGAAAAACGATTGATGACGACTTACAAAAACAAGAAAAGATCTCGGATGACGACGGTCAAGGACGAATAACAACAAAAACGGACATGAAGAGCCAGGTGGAATTGATATGCAAAAGGGTCCTCCACGAGACCATACACTGGGAGGGGTACAGGGATGAATCCCGAGCGGATCTGGGCTGTGCGGGAGAGCCGCCTCAGTCTCCTCCGGCCCTCCCCCGACCGCCTTCAGGAGGGAAAGCCAAAAAAGGCTGCTGCTGCCCGCTCCTCGTCGCTACGGCCAGGTGCGCCCCGAGGCCCTGACCACGAGACGCACCGGACCGCGGCGTTTCGGGCCTCGAAGGACTTCAGCCACGCGCAGAGGGGGGCAGGCGGGAGGGGGGAAGACTTCTCAGAAACACCCCTGCGTCTTAGAAGGCGCGGGCCTTGTCTATAGATGTAAGGCCGGCGCCTTCTAAGAAGCGGCCTCCTTCTAAGAAGCCTCCACCTCTCCCCCTAACCCCCTCTGCGCGCCGCCAATCCTGAGTTCTAGGCTGTTTCGGGCTCCAGGACCGCCCAAAGCCGATCCGGGGTGACAAGTTGGTCCCAAGGGACAACTGGGAGGCGTCTATGGGCCGGCTTTGAGCGAACTGCCAAGTCCGAGGTACGTAGGAGGATCGAGGTGCGAGGACCATCGTTGTTGTTCGTCATCGTCAATGTGGTAGCCTCGGACGGGGCGAAAGGGGGGAGAAGGGACAGGGCGGGGAGTACGAAATCTGCTGCATGCAGCTGGTTTCGGACCCGACGCCAGGCGCGTTCCTCGGTATATTGACGCATCTGGCGCCAGGAAGAGCAGCTATGGTAGATGATTCACTCCCCCCCCCCTTTCTTATTCCCCCCTTTCGTCCGACCCGGTGGTCGCCCTCTTTCATCCTCCTCCTACCTCTATTTCCTACATCCTCCTTCTCCTCCTCCTCCTCCGCCTCCTCCTTCTACACATGCCCTTGCTCCCTCCTTCTCCGCCGACTCTCCCTCTTTTTACCTTTCGGAGATGGACGGAGGAGCAGTGAGGAGAAATGGAGGAGGATGAGGTTGAAGAGGAGAAGGAGGAGGAGGAGGAGGACGAGGAGGAGGAGGAGGAGGGAACTATTCGCGCCAGCCATAGCGGGGGGCGAAGCAATGCGCGCGGCGAAACAATTTGCGTTACGGCAGGTGGGCAAAGCAATTCGCGCTACGGCGGGGCACGAATTCATTCGCGCAATGGCGAGGGGCGGAACACTTCGCGCTACGTCGGGGGGGGGGAACTCATCTTTGGCGCTAGGGTTGGGGGCGAAGCAGTTCACGTGGTGAAATATCTCACGCGGCGAAGTGACGCACGCAGCGGAACAGCTCACGCAGCGAAGCCACACATTTAACCTTAGTGCGCATACGGCATACCTATGCCGTAGCGCCGCGCGCAGTCTTCTTTAAACAGGTTTCAACAGTTACAAAGACGGATGCTGGCTCATTTTCGAAATGCGATTATCGTTCGATGTTTCAACACATTCGATGGCGCGTAGTCAAAATTGTTCAACAGTGGCACGGATGGATTGCGGTTCTTTTTCATCATGGGATTGTTTTTCGAGACGTTCGTACATGGGATGGCCATCATCTTAACATTGAGCAACACTTCCCAGATGGAGGTCATCTTAATTACAATGTGGGTCTATCGTTAGACATTGCCTTGAGTTGTATGGTCCTACCTTTTTGCGTTCCTTGTAGCAAGAAGGTGGAGGCTGGATCCATGACAAAACGGGGGCTCGTCTGAGTGGCAGGCCCACGCGGCGCTCGTCATTCAAAGGGGGCGTCTCCCGCAGTGCAGAGGCAAATCTATGTCCAGTGATTTAGTAGGGGGGGCATGAAGCCGGAGGGCGCATTGCAGCATCACTCATGCTTTCCGGGTTTACTCTGGTCCTCCCTCCCTTCTTCCTCCACTTCCTCCTCCTCCTTTTCCTTTTTCTCCTCCCCCTCCTCCGCCGTCAGGTCCACCTCAGCCCCCCCGCTGACGCGCTGTGGCGCCGATCTTGGCTGTTCAGCCTTACGTCGCAGGGAGAGAAAACAAAAACCTCCTCCGCCTCCTCTTCCTCACCCTTCCTGAGGTCCTGTGACATGCTCCCCAGGGGGGACTACCCTGGAGGGGCAGGCCTCGACCCGCCCCCTGCCCTCCCAGGCGACCCGCCGCCGATGCGCAGGCGGGGGTCGACGGCTTGGGGGTGGGCGGACTCGGGATGGCGCTCGGAGGGGCTCAGAGCTCCTCGGGCTGTGGGAGACTGGCCTTCCTGCGGTCAGTGAGCTCGGGCACCAGGCCCTTGATCGGGTGGGTGGTAGTGGGGAGTAACCTACATGGGGGGGTAAAGAAGAGAACCCCTTCAGGGCCCTCGTCTTCACCTCCCACGTAGGTCCCCCCCCATTGCCACCTCCTGCCCGACTCAAGCGAGCCTGTGAGAGCAACGACAGTGGCGGAGCAGGCCAGGTGTTTTGGCCTCGCTTTCAGGGCAAATCTATACCATGCCTCTCCTTCTCCATCCCCCCTCCTCCTCCTCCTCCTCCTCCTCCTCCTCCTCTTCCTCCTCCATCCCAGTACCTTATTTAATCGCTTCGCTCATTCCGCCGGCCCTGGAGCGCCATTTGGGGCCTCTTGGGGCCGTCTTCGGGGCTTCTTGGGGGCTTCTTGGGAGCGTCTTGGGGCTCCCTGGCGGCGTATTGGGCTCACCTGGGGCCTCTTGGGGGGCTCTTGGGGGCCCCTTGGGGCGGGAGGGGTGGTAGTCGATTGCAGCCCCCCCCCCCGGAGGCCACGATCCTCGTGAGGGGTGGCGAAAATAGCCTCCCCCCTGGGGATCGGCCGGGGTACTTTTCGCCCGGGGGCCCCCAGGGGCCGCCCCGCGCGCGCGAATTAGAAATATTGTTAAGTAGTTACCGGAGACCTTATCACGCCTCTGGCCCGTTGGGCCGGCGAATTATAATGAGCTACTCCTTGTCGCACCCCCAGACGTGTAGCCAGAGATTTCCTCACCAATTATGATAATGACGCTTGACATGTTGAACAATTCGCAGATGGAGGGCGGGCCGTTTTCAAAATGTTGTTCTCGCTTCAGCGTCAGGCACATTCGAATCAAACGTCTGCAACAGCTTCACGGGTGGAGGGCAGGCCCAGGCAGGCCGTCTTCAACATGTGGTTATGGTTTTAGCGCCACGCGCATTCGTTTTGAATTTGTGCAGCAGCTTCACGGGTGGAGGGCGGGTGATTTTCAAATTGTGATGATCTCTTCAGCGCCGCGCACATTCGTTTCAAACGTCTGCCGCAGTTTCAAGGATGGAGGGCGGCT